GTTACTTCATTGGTGAGTTATGGTCATACTCCAAATAATTTGATTTCCGGTTCCTTAAGATGTAAATTTATGTAAAACACGAATGTATGTAAATTATTAGAGCGAAAATTTTGACCATAAGCATAATAAAAGCACCAATGGCTCTCTGGTGCTTTAAATTGTTAAATATTTTATGTAATTGTTAAATATTTTATGTTTAATTAGATTAAGTTATCCCTATGTCACATTATTTATGTTATATTTTTAATGTCAGGTTAAGTGTAAGAAAGGGCCATGTGGCCCTAACTTTGCCTGAAAAAATAAAGGATTTTTCATTTAATTTCCCTGGTGCAAACTGAAATAATAAGGTTGGTTAAAAATGTTATAAAATAATAGCAAAATATTGATTCGTTGCAAACGATTAGTGGTTCATTGGAAATTGTATTTGATGAATTTGTATAGAAGTTTTTGGTGATTTTTTTAACACTACTATTACTGTGCATTTTTGTCTTTATTTAAAGTATTATTTACTTAGTATACGAACTAGAAGGTCTTTTAACTATGGAATAAGAATGATGTTAGTTATTTTCTTTAATTAGAATTCACAATTACCCTTATTAAATTTGGACAGAAATTTGAAACAGTTTTTGTACAGATGAAGGGAGGATCCAAGATAAAAACAGTGACATGATTTTAAGGAAACAGACAATGGAGTAGGTGTTAAATATGGAGACATACTTCTCGTGCATGGGAACTCCAGAACACTACTGTTTGTCAACGTATCTAGGCCGTTACTGGAAACTAAATCATTCGCGTGAAAACACATTTTAAGGGATAGGAAAATATAAGTATCCTTAGAGTGCCAAACCAGCAGTGTAAAACCAGCAGATTATAATAAAGAGCCAATTTTGGAGAGAGGCTTTTAGATGGTTTTCACTTTTTTTAAACTTTTCACTTTTTAATACTATTTATTTAATAAATAGTATTAAAAAGTGAAAAGTTTTATAGCTTTTTGTAGATATAATTTCCAATTACAAAGAGAAGTCACTTCGCATCATATATCTATAACGTATTTTTAGATAGATAGTTGAACCTGTAGCGGAAAATGAGTGTCAAATAGGTTTAGTATTAAAAATATCAAATAGCTAATTTATTCCAATATGAGAGTGATCGTTGCGTGACTGGCGAATTTTGAACACAAAATTAAAGGTGTTGAAAAATACAATATTATTCATAAAAAATAAAGAACAAGAAGTGTGATTGAGTTGAAATAAATAACATTACAAGAAATGTAAATAATCGATACAAATTTGTTGAATTAAGGGAAAATATTAGAGTCAAATTAAAATGATACCCTCCAACCGATCTTCTAACCATTTATAGTGATGACTGTAAGCGAGTACGATTTGACTTTTAAAACGGCAAATTAAACAAAAAAAGAAAAGATTAACCTTGAGAAAATAACGAAAGATTACCAAAAGTCAGCGATCACGTAAGACAAAAAAGATGATCTATTAGTCAAAGCGCGGGACTTTTGTCCTGAAGACACAGGTTCAAATCCCCGATCACATTCCGTTGTTTATCCGTGCGATAATGTTACCCAGTGGTTCACAGCCAACATTCTATAGATATCTAGAAAAAAATATGTCCCCTCAAAAACTGCCACTAAATCTCAAAAACTCTTCTTTAGCCTACAATTTTTCAAAAATTAAATAACAAACGACATAATACCGCATGACGACGACATAGTACCGTAAATAGCTGTGGTAACTGGTAATAGCGTACAGGCTGTCCCGTTTGTGTTATAATTTGTAGAACACTGGTCCTACTGTTATTATAAAATTAGATTAGGGAAGAAAGGAAGCTGGTGAAAGACTCTATTAGCTGGAGAATGTACATAATAACTGAGACGTGCATTCTTCCCAAAGCGCACGCGACCGGGACAGTTAGATGGAATGATGAATGTAGGATGTAGCGACCGCGAGTGTGCTTACATGCAGGAATTTAATTTATTATAATTTAAAAATTGAGGTACTCAAATATAATAAATTGAATAAGTGTGGTCAAATGTCCTTAAAATATTTCCTGTAGGACGAGTAAAGGCAAATTTTGAAGTTTAGTTTAATTCATCAATGTTAATAGTAAAATAGTTAAAAATTATTTATATTTAAATATATGACTAAAGTAGTCGGTTGCGATATATATTTAAGCAGAATTGAATTTGTCAGTTTATATAAGTAAAATTTAAGGTATTTCAACTTGTGTTAGTTTTTTGTGTTAAATTTATAATGTTTAGTATTTAAATAATCTTTTGACCTGAGTTTAAGTGTTAGTAGGATAGTAATTTAGCTATATGTGATCAGTCATTTTAATTTTGTTCCGGATGAAACGAAAGTAATATTATTTCAACAGGTAGTTTTTATACCGATATTAAATGGTTAGACGTTTAAAGAAAGCGATTAAGGTTTGTGTGACTCCTTTGCGCTTAGTTATTCTTCAAAAATTCAATAGTTCACTGTTTAGTTACTGACAAATTGTAATTGTAAGCACGATTACTAATAATACAACCCAAGCAAAAGAACAATATTTCATTGTAGACTATAATCTTTTAATGGAATAGGCGCAATTCTTGAAACCTGGATGAGAATTATATTCAGTGAATTGTTTATAATTCAAGTAGTTTTGAAATAGGAGGTTAAGGTAATTTAGCATATAAGAAAAAGTTGCATAAACTTTGTCTTGCAGTAGAAACATAAATAAGTAAAATAAATATTTTTTCGTCGCAAGCAAAAAGTATTTTTTCGGGTCTAAAGTAGCATTTTTACTCTCTAGGGAGTAAAATTAATTTTTAGCCTCTAGGGAGTAAAAATCATCTGTTGTAAACAGTTGTAAATTTCGATTGTGACAATCGTATCGATCGAAATTATTTATCGATTGATTTATTAGGTAAGGTCTAAAGCAAATTATCGTCAATTGCTCGACATATCGATGGTATAATGTACTGTAACACAATAGTAGACGAAATGATTGAATCACTTACGAACCTGCTGCTTATTTGCTTATTTGCATTAGCAGAATTGGAAACAAGCTGGAAGTCGTTTTGAGAGGTTATCTTTACATAAAACCTATTTTGTTTTCTAGCTTAGTTTGTAAATTAATGATGCAATATGACGAAAAATAAAGTTCACCACACGGACAAAAAGAGTCAATTTAGGCCCTAGTGATGCAATACGACTATTATATCAAGGTGTGATGAAAATATACGGCGTGAGCTGAAACCAACGCTGAAACCTTAGTTTTTCTTTTAAGATAGAAATTATTATATTCAAATCGAGGACTAAGTAAACAAGGAAATAACTAACTGTATTCAACAAATTGGTTTCTTGAAGCGATCCCAAAAAAGATTTTTCTAAAAAGGACGTATGAGTTCAAGATAACTTTTGTTATCGTCGTATGAACAAAATATCACCAACAGTCATAACATATCCTAGGAAAGTTGACATAACTAAATAATATGTTGATTCAGCTAAGAAACGAAGTACAATATTTGTGTATAGTAAACGTTGAAAACAATTTCCCATTAGTTTTCTCTTTGTGTAATTAAAAAGGGACTTCATATTTTACACTTTTATGTTGTAGTTTTGATGATTCAAAGCTATTCTAAGCTACACGAAAGTATATATGTTGGCCTACCAAAATTTTATGAACTTATTAAATTATTTTTGCTTGAGTTACAGGATTATACTATACAAGATTAAAATATGAATTTATAATAAAACAAATAAATAATTATAATGTAAAACGATGGACTAATTAATAAATTAATTGAAGTAACAAGCTTTATAATTGATATAAGATCTTACTATGAATTATACTAAATTAGTTTAACTACTGGGGTAAAATGTTTTTAATTTGAATTACCTCATTTTCGAAAGAATGATGTGTAATCATCGAATAAGTTGATCTTTTGGCAAAAGTTGTTCACAGTTAACTTTACAACTTTTCGCCACTGGATGGTTTTGATCTTCTTTTGTAGAAAATACTAGTGGAAATTGTTTACAAGTTTTTGACTATATATAGAAAGTTGTTCGAGAGTTTTTAGCCTGTACAACTTTCGAGTTCGTGAAGATTCGACGATAACTCGAAGTAAGTTTGTTTTGCGTGTCGGTGCCCAAAGGCTTCTAGTATTTATTTTTATTTCAAGTAGTTATGGTGAATGAATTTTCGTTAGGGACTAAACAAAACCTAAGTAATTTCACTGTTCTCGTTTGTGCATGTTTTATAACGAAGCTGTCTTCATAACATTATTTGTTGTTGTTATGTTTTCATATATATTTTTTTAAATTTGTTTATACATTATATTTGTTAGAGGTCTATTTGATTGTTCTCAAATGAGAGTTTATGAAATGAAACCTGAAATATTTGTTATTAACTAAGAATGCAATATTGTCAAAGATGCATCTGAGGGTTTATCTATTAAAGTTATTGGCTTAACTAAAGGTTGTTTGTCAAATATTTAATCAGAGGTCAAGTATATACATTTGAATATTCAATCGCTTTTGATGTTAATGTCAATTTGCATAAGAAAAGTAAAGATGACATGTTTACAACTAGCTTGATTGAATGATTAACTAAACAAAACTGATGGTTTATGGATTTTACTTTAAATATCATCAATAAATTGAACTATACTGTGAAGAATTTACGGATTTTGCTGCAGTTGACAATAATAAAATGTATTTGTTTACATTTTGTGTTTGAAATGAACTGGCACCTATATTTTGTATTTTACAAAAAGTTAATCTTTTCAAGTGTTCAAAACTAAAAAATATTTATTTAATTTTATTTGATAATATATAGAAATATATTTAGTACGAATTTCCAAATTTTCTATTAATATTAAGTTTTTATTGTATAACTAGTTAGAAACCCTTTCTCGTTAATTGAATTACACCTACTGATGTTCTTAGGTGGTATAAGCGACAACAGTCAATAGAGAGTGTATATTTGTAACATATTACCTTGTTCAATATCATTGTCGCCACCGGCAGACTTGCCCTCCTCCGTGTCTGCTGGGTACCACTGCGACAACCCAGAGGCTAGCAGGTCTCCTATCCTGTCAATGACGCGAGCCACGGCCGGGGACACGCCCTTGGGCAGCGGGTCATCCTCCTTGTCCCCAAGGTCCTCCAGGGCACGAATCGCCCGGGTCTGGACACAGGCGGTCGGCGAGTCACTGGAAGCACAGAGCAATAGAGAAGGCACGATGTCCCAAGGGTCCGCGGTAACACCCGCGGTCGCGGTCGTGGTCGAACCTACGTCCGCGCCTAACGCCAACCCCGCGCACATCACTAGGCTTATTATCCTCAGGGAGTACATGGTCATGGTCAGGAAGACAACACGAATGTGCCGCCGCGCAGCGCGATCAGTTTATATCCCTCCACCACGCAACAGACCAGCGCCGCCGATCTTGGAAGGGGCAATGTGGAACGGAGCCCCTCCCCCACTTAGAGTTTACCAAATATTTGAAAAATATTTACTGCTCAAACTTTGCATCAGAACCTTCCATAAAGAGCGTTAAACCAAACAGATTTTAAGTTTAGATTTGAACATTTTAATTTGAACTCTCATTTTTAATATTATACTACCGGTAATGTTTTTGTTGAAAACCTTTGCAAGATTGTTTGATTGATATCCACCTCAAAATTCAAAACTTTGATTTTTAACCAACCTTTTTCTGCAAAAAAAATATGTATATTGTATATAGGTATCTGACTGATATATTAATAACTCTACAATTGGTGCATGATTTATACTTTAGCTATACAGTACTTATACAAAACTGTATTTGTATACATTTCAGATATAAGCTTTACAATCTCTGATCTTACCAGAAGTATACACAGTTTGCACCTAACGTTGTTATACTAATAAATCAAGCAATATTTCTAAAAAATGCAAGCTATCCTTTTTTAAGAGAACGATTAAATTAAATATCGGATCAACACAGATGTGCCTTTATTCTAAGTATAAATGGTTCATGAAAACCAGTAATAAAATCATCATTTTAGTGATAGCGAACCAAAATTCTTCAGGATAGGTAGTAACACTAATAAGAATCTGCTCATCCTATGTTAATGATGTCATCCTATACAAAGTCCTCCTATAAATATAGTGGAGTGGTGGAGTGCATAACTAACTGCTAACTAATTAACTACAGTAAACACTAGTGCATCCACTAAGTGTTAACAGTAACAGTACATGTATGTATGTGTTAACAGTACATTTATTAAGACAGTTAAGATATGTCCAACTTAACCATATTATATCTATGGAGATGTTGTAATATTTATCATTTGAAGTGAATTCGATGTCATACATTTTTGAATCTATTCTATTTACATAAATAGTTCAGCTGCTTATAGTTGTATTATTGTAAATTATAAATTCTTTAAAGCTAACCCTAAATGTGCGAGATATTCCCAAAAAGGAAATAAGATGGGTTTGAATAAACAAGTAATTAAAATTCCATAATATTGCCCCGTTTATGTTATGTAGCGTTTACGTTCATGTGATCACGTTAACAAATATCGTAAAAAAAGTTCAAATACCTGGTACTGCCTGGTGATTTCTCCTTTGCTCCTAAAATGGAATACGCCTTTCGATGTTGTTGGTACATCATCATCAGGGCAGACAAAACTTGGAGAAATAAACTATTGTGGGAATTTTTCATGTTTTGTGCGCCATGATGATGTATGTATGTATCAAAGACATCGAAACGCATAGACCATTCTAGGAGCGGAGGAGGAATCACTAGGCAGTACCAGGTATTTGAACCTTTTTACAATATACCTAATCAATTGTTTAAGTAATGCTTTTGCACGCTGAAATATCTATACTATAATACGAGTAACGTTTGCGCACAATGATTTCAAAAACAGCTCCGATGATTTCCTCTAAATTGTTAGGAATATCTTGGTTCAGGCTAAAAACAATATCCATGTTTGCCATTGTTCTGGGAAAATTCGTTTTTCGTTAAAAACTTTTAATTAAATTTGAATATTTTTAACATTGGACTTATGGAAAGCTAGGTAGCCAAGACAGCTTTACAAACATGAAAATAAATGAATTGTATTGTAACATGTGCTTTTAATAAACCATCTACAGTGCACTGGCAAAATACTAAATACAGTAAAAAAAAAAAAAAACATTTACATAAATAGCAAAGAAAATAAAAACAATATGGATCATAAACAAACTAATAATCTTAAAATAAGCATGTTTGTATTATTATTTCAATGCAACTGTAAAAAATAGTCCAAAACACACGTAGAGTAGGCAACACCCTAGGCCGGCCACTCGCCCACTATACGATTTCGGTCGTACGACACTGTGCCCTACGATATTCTTATCGTATGTGTGGTCCTCGCCACTTTATCGGATAAATGACCAGTTGCCCGGTAGCCCTAAAAAAGTGAGTGTGTGTTGCGCAATATCTTAAAACAGTGGTTCTGTATCAAATAGTAAAACAGTGAATTCGTTACGTGTTGTGGCTGCTGTGGCGCAGATTAAGCGATAGTGGCCAATGTAGGCCTACGGCATTAAAGAAATGATTCTTTTTATGTGTAGATTATTTCTTAAGTTAATGTATTTAAAGACATTTTTCAATTATACAAGTCCATGCCTTTTACAAGTTTTTAAATTTACCATAACTTTCATAGGTTTTTGGGATAGTCTGGTAAAAAGTTCGTATGTTCCAATTTTGTTTTTTTAGTTTTAAATATTATTGATTTAATTTTATTAATATAATCTGCAAAAGGTAATATTTAGGTATTAGTGAAACTATTTCATACAATATAATTAATAATAATGATTATAAAATATTAAATAATAACCAAACTCACATTGTTTCAATGATTATTTTGGTATATTTACTTATAAATGATGCAGTATACAAACATATTATAAAGGAAAAATGTGAACAAGTTGTATATATTTTTTACGATTTGTTCATATTTTTTCTTAGTAAAATCAAAATTACGCAAAATAATGGTTGAAAAAAACCAAGCGATATATAAAACATTATAATAAAAAAGTATAATGAATTGTAAAAAAATATTTATTCATGATAAGAAATACGTGAGAGAATGGTAAAAAAGAAGTTAATTGTAAAAAGTATTGTGTAAAGTAGGACTACTGGGGAGAACGCACGACATACGACAAAAATCGTATTGAGGGCGAGCGCCCATATGATCGTGTACGCCACTGCGAGTTGGACAGTCGTGGATCACAGTGGCAGTGGACGACTGCACCACGACAGTTTGTCGTAGTCGTGAGATTACCGTATAGTGGGCGAGGACCACATATACGATAAGAATATCGTACAACACAGTGTCGTACGACCGAAATCGTATAGTGGGCGAGAGGCCATACGCGATCCAATGACTGACATGTCGCAACTAGAGAGCGCATAATATTTGCAACTCCCAACAATGCTGGTCAACAGCTGAGATGTTAATATCACGCGTTTGTTATAGAACTTTACTGTAGAAATGTACAATAATTGATTGTTCGTCTTTATGGAAATGAGTATTAATTAAATTAAAAATGTAGATGGAACGTGTCTACCGAAGAGAAAAAGACTTTGCAACCTAATTAAACGTGGCAAAATGAAAATGGAGATGATTTTCACTAAAAAACAAAAGGTATGTGTTTTATAGGTTAACTACAGTTGGATATAAGATATAAGTTCTAGGAAGAGGTCATAGCTATTGTCAGGGAGTAGATAAACAGCTATTATTACGCCACACTACACTATTATGACGAACTTCCCACGCAAGGATTTAGTCCAGAAAACAGCCGTTTGCCGCCAGCTTAATCAAATGGGGTTTCATTGCGTACTACTATACTGCTATGAGTTTTACCGGACACCAATCAGCTGATTATACTGTATTTGGGTGGCAATGAGTAGTTATAAACAAAAACATAACCTCTCTTAGAGGTTACGTTCAAATAGTATGGTTAGGTTCAAACTCGTATGGTAATCCCGTACTTGACTTCGTCTCGCACGGGAACAACCAAACTCGTCCGGCAAACACTTATTTTCAGGTCTAGTAACGTAATATACTATTACGTTGTCTGCAGTTACTTTTGCAGCTGTAATGTCGCACTTTCCTTGTTCGCAAAATTCCCTTGCTTCGATGCTTTGGAATTGTCCACTTTAAATTATTTCTAAGAGTAGATTCTTTAGTGGAATTCATTAGTTTTGATATAAAGCATAAATAATTAGTCTTTCAAACACTATACAACACGTTTTTAGGTTAGGTTAAACCCAAGTGTTAAACGGAATGGGAAACACTGCACCAGCTGATTGTAGTCGTAGTATCTTTAAGTGTTACTGTACTTATTTTCAAGAGCACACGTATAAACAGTAATAGTCAGTATAAACAGAATAAACAAGTATTGAAGACTTAATCACTTTTGATTGTTCTACAAAATATGCCAATATAGTAGTTTACACAACGATTGCGTTAAGTTAGTCTTTACGACACGAGTAGAAAATTTAAGGCACGAGCCTTGGCGAGTGCCTTAAAAACTTCTACGAGTGTCGTAAAGACTAATAACGCGAGTTGCGTCCTCTACTTTACCTACGACAGTTTTTTAGTTACTAACAATCTGGTTTTTAATTACTAAAAATCACTACTCATTACTTCTTAGAGAGGTTATGTTTTCGTTTATTGTCAGTGCCAATGAAAGGAAAGTGATGCAACGACTTATTGTATAATCAGCTGATTTCCTGTAATTACGTGTTTGTAAAACTTCGTTAAAAAAATACGTTACCTTTTTCAGGGAATGTGTTCTGCTAGCAGCATTCTTACCATAAATACTACATCAGGTACAATTAGGAAAATTTTGCATTTTGTTTTTGACAACTGAATGATTATAGTGAAACAGTTAATTTACAGTTAGATCTCAGCATCGAATATTATAGAATATTATAATCAGTTTGTTCTCTCATTTCCATCTCGTCAACTTCACTTTCACTAACTGACATTATTAAATCAGTTTAATCTACCTTCCTTTAACTTCCACAAACTTAGGTTAAGAATACGCGAGTATCAACAGGAACAAGTCAGATCAACAATTAAATTGGTCAACTGATCAGCTGATTAGTTGACGTTCGAAGCATTACAATTTTAATTCTTTTCTCTCAATACTTGAACCTCATTGGTCCGTTACCTGTGTTGATATGAGAAAAACTATGCTGATATGAAATGAAACTATGCTGATATGAAAGTAAACAGCTGTTAAGTGAAACTTTTCAATTCTAAGAACTGAACTGAAATGGCTACTTTAAAAAACGGTCGTAGGTAATAGTATATTACGTTACTAGTCCTGAAAATAAATGTT